ATGTCACATGCTCTGTAGCTGTTTCAAGAGGAGGTTGCTCATTTCCTCACCACCCCACTGTGCCACACACACATACACAAATACATAGAACTCACACACTGTATCATGTGGCCTGACGAGGAGTTGGCACTCCATTCATTCACCATTGTTCTTCCAAGTGCAGTGCTCCTCCACCCTCCACTGAAGCTTGAACAACCTCTCCCGTTCTTCCAGCCTTCATCTAATGACTTCCTGTTCACTCCTGCACATTCATGGAGGACTTGGGCATCTGGTTCACAGCTTCCTCTTTTCCTTTGGCTCCCCCCACCCCAGCCCTGGCATATTCTGGGTGACTTCCATTCTCATACAGTCAAGTCACCTGGAATGCAAACCTTGCCTCCTTTTTAACTGGGAAAAACTAGATCCTCAAGAAAATTGTTGTCATCTTCCTTACCCTGAAACCTAGTTAAATGTACCATCAGTGCCTATTCTTTCTTCCTTGCCTCCAGCCTCAGTGTAAGAAGTGCTTCCTACTCCCTTATGAAACTTATGCCTCAGTCTGTACTCTGCATTCCATCACCTCCTTCCTACCCGTTTCAGGATCTACTCCAATAGCCCTCGCCCAAAGGAGAGAGGGTAGGAAGAGAAGAGTAGCAGTATAGGAAATGCCCATATTCAAGAAACAGAATAAAGACTAGGTCACAACTGTCAGAACCCAGCGTAATTATGCTGGAGCTTTCAGTTTATTTCCTAACCACAGCGGCCCAATGTACTCAAAAAGCAAATAAGATGTTCTGTTTCGTTTTGGGTATCAAGGGTTTTTAAAAATGAATAACCATATTAACCCAAGACAAGTAACCTAGGATACTTTGTGCAGATGTGGTAATGAAACCCCAGGAGAGAGATTAGTAAATCTGGAAATGGTCCAGAGGAGAGCAATTAAAGTAATCAAAGCAAAGAAGCAACTGATGTTTTAAGAGAGACTAAAGGGATCAAGAAACTCTTCAGTCTGGAAAAACAGCTAAAAGAGGCAACAGCAGCAATGACAGCAATTATCATGATGGCTAACATTTAGAGAGTGCTCACTATGTACAAGATTATTCTAAACAGTTTACATGTATCATCTCAATCCTGACAATGGTTTTATCAGGCAAGTACTGTTATTATCCCCACTTTACAGATGGGAAAACTGAGGCACAGTGAAGTTAAGTAACTTGTTCAATCTCTCAGACGTAGTAAAGGAGAAGACAGGATTCAAACCCAATCTGATTCTAGAGAATATCCTTTTAACCATAGTAGTATGGACCTTCCAGAAAACGAATCTTAAAAATATGAATCAATTAAAAGCATTTTTGTTTACTAAGATTCGAAACTCGAAATACCAAGGCACCACTTAATGCTTTAAGGAGATCACATTGTTTTGTCATTTCAGTTTTTTACACTGAGCACACATAACTTTTGTAAAGAAAAACATTAACTGAGTGCAATTTCAATATAAATTTTGAAAATCCTAGTTTACCCAGAAGGTAGTAAACTACTAGAATTTGGTACCCAGGGAGGTTGTAATAAATATAAATAGCTTGAAAAGATGTTTAGTACCCACAATAGATATGATAGATACCTATCATAGTCAGGAATGTATTCCTAGGGAAAGTGGAGCTCTTAACCACTTAGGAAAGGACAGAGTGTGCTAGATGGAGGGAGAATATGTGTGGGAAGTGGAGAGGTGGATGAGTCGTGTATGAAGTTACTTGTTTAGTTGGGTGGAATGCAACAAAGTTCATTAACTTGACAATTCTAGAATTGCAGTGGTTTCTCTATTCAACAGGCTATCCTAGGGAAACGAGATGAGTCTTCATAAATGACATCTGGGTAGAAAACGCTTTAAAGATTGTTGTGCCTACCTTTAATAACATTCACATCATTTATCCACTGGGCATATGGAAAATGGCTGTTTCTTTGGTAAAACTAAAGGCACTTCTGTGGTCACCTAGGGATTTAAATGCTCTTTCTCATGAGGTTTGACTCTTTTTCTAAGAGCCCACGTAAATGGTGCTGCCACTAGATGTACTTTATGCTTTGGGGATTAACTTCAACTGATGTATGAGTGGATTCAAGGTACTTATTTGAATGATACGGTCTGTGGTAACTGTGATAATGAATACCTTGGCTTCCCTTCCGGTTGGAATCCACAGATAAGACAATTAAAATCTCACTCCATTAATATGAGTTAACCACGTATTTCTAGAAAATGTGAAACTAGCCTAGTTTATTTTGCCCTCAGTACATGGGTAAGAGATTCAAAGGAAGAGAGTGGGGAATGCATTTTAAGAGGGTAATGGCGAGAACAAAATTTAATGCCTGGACACAGGTCACTTCCCTGAAGACTTGGATAATATATATTACTGGCTTATACAAATATCAGATTCCTTACTGGCTCTTTCTTTTTTTAAATAATCTCATCCTTTTAAAAGAAACAAGATCTCAACTCCTTTCAGAAAACTTCTAATAATGTTTTGCTTCAGATAAATTAATATTAGAAAAGGTAATTTAATAGGGTACCTGAGAAAGGTAATTTCAATTTGACCATTATCAAAACCAAAACAAAATTTTAAGAGTTTTTTTTATGTTTTTTTGTCAACTATCTTTTCTATCTTGTAACCTCCTAGGGGTGGAGAAGGAAGTACTTTCCCATCCCGAAAAGAGAGATTATTTCCTGGTTCTCCCTGATTGTGAGGTTTATAAATAGAACTGCATTTGTAAGGAATACTTTATACTGTACTTGACATTGATCAAGTACTGTGTCAAATCTTGGCTTAGAGGTGAAGAAATTGAAGAGTTCCCAGAGAAAAATAATGATGGTAATTAAAGGCTTGGAAAATGAGATCCAGAACAAAAAATTTACAGGTAAAGTTGAGGAAATCTGATAATTCTTGGACACCTTTTATTTTCTATTTTCTTCATCCTTGAAGAATCTCAAGAATATAAAAAATGTTAATCAACAATCAAATGGTTATCAAAATTTAAGAGTGTACAAGCTCACAGAGATTTTTTAACCCATTCAAAGTAATGGAAGGACTCCTTCCCTCATTCTTTTCTATAATTAATTCACTTAGCAAACATTTATTTGAGTGCCTATCATGTGACAGGCAGTGTTCTAGACATAGACAGGAATCTCTGTCCTCTTGGAACTTACATTCCAGCAAGAAGGATAGTAAACACTAATAACACAACAAATATAATAAGTAGATAAATCAGCCTGGCCATTGTGTCTCAGTGGTTGAGTGTCGACATATGAACCAGGAGATTGCAGTTGGATTCTGGTCGGGGCACATTCCCA